TTTCACAAATCAGTGTGAAGCTGGAACTTCTCCTGATTGTTTCCCACACAGACAAAGGGCAGATCAAATGATCTTAACAATCTGCTGTAACTACAGATAACATAAAGGTCAATAGGGCAGAATAAGTTATTAATCTGAAAACTATAATTAGGCTATTTCAATCAAGACATGTTAACAACTAGGAGAGATTACAAATTAGATTGTGTTTTACAGATATTCTATGTTGCATTTAGTTTTACCCCAGCTGATTAAATCTTATCAAGATGGTCAAAAGGTTAAACTCACACAAACTGATAATCTGATTATTACAGACAAATCTTTAATAAATAAAGATATTTCCAACACACTGAATTGTCAAGAAAACCTGAGATCATCCCACTTCCCCATGCTGGAGATTTTAGTTTAACGGTAACAATAAATAGCTACCTTTAAAGTTAATAACACAAGTAACATCTAGAGAAAACGGTAGAGTCAAACTTCAATAAAATCAATCAGGTTGTGTTGTTTTTGCAGACTTTGCTTTAATTCTACTTTTTTCTATTTAATCATAAGAAATCATAGTTAGACAGAGAGAGAGAGTCAGACAGAAATAGCAGGCTTCCTGGAAGAAGAGGAAGTAAGTTTCCAGCTGGAAGATTTATAAAAATAGTTTAAACTAGTCCTTATTTCAAAGCATGAAAGTTTAAAGAATGAAATCTAAACATTTTTAGTAATTGAATAAGAAACAAAGTAAAATACTTATATTAATATTGTTTTACTTGTAAAAATACTTACACTTACACTTGTGGGAATACTTACAACTAAAACAAGTAACGTTGGTTACGTATTTCCTATTGGCTTCGCCCTTTAAGGATATCCTAGTGGGTTTATCCCTCGCGCACAGCGCAGCACTGAAAAAAGCTTAGTCCACGCCCACCTACAAGGTGGGCCCCATCCCGGTCTGTATAAATAACGGTCAGACCGGACAAACGGCTCCCCCTTCTTCTTCAGCCATTCAGGAACCAGTGAGGCCCACAGCTTAAAGGGCTGCACCTATACTCATAGAATCTAGGGTTACAAAACGTAACCAACGTTCTATTTCGTATAAGCTTCGCCCTTTAAGGGTATCGCTAGTCGGTTAACGGCGAAGCAGGATGTAGTCTATGCCTCATGGTGGTCCATCCAGACCACCACCATGCTGCATATAACAAAAAACAGTCTCATCCTGGAGTGCGTAATTACGCAGTCCTGGCCTCCCATACAGCAGAAGACCAGAGAGAATAACATCTGGTCAGAAAGGTTGAGACAAACAGACCTGCTGCTGTGAACAGGAACAACGAACGTTACGAACTGTAACAGTGTAATGATGAACAGAACAGGTAACTTATTATACAGCACTTTGAACAACCATGTTGTTCTCAAATGCTTTGTAAATAAACATGACAAAAATAATCTTTCTGTCAGAACTCTGAGGACAGAATGGGTCATAGAGAACGTGGAAACATCACACAGGTAAAACCGAATAAATGAGCACGGAGATGACCAGGAAGCAGCCGTGCAAATGTCCTCCACTGACATTCCTCCACGGAGAACTGTGGAGGATGAAATCTCCGGTGGAGTGAGCCAGACACGTGCAGGGGGGGGCTAGGGGAGCTTGAGCACCTACCCCTATTGCTCCTTGCCCCCAATTGCCCTTTTGGTCAATTTTTTTTTGCATTATTATTTCCCAAGCCCTCTTCTGACACATATGTACTAAAATTATTAGTTTTTTTGTTGGTTTTTTTTTGTATAGCATAATAAGCACCTTGTTACCTTTGACCTTTTGCCCGTGACGCATGACGCAGTTGCCTCTCGCGCAGTGAGATAAGGTGGCTAACTGGAGCTCAATGTAGCGAACGTTCCAGATTACAGAACAGTTTTTGGTGAATTAAAAAAAAGTTTTTGGTGATGTTATGGAAATTTCATTATCAAAGAATGAGAAGCTGTTTCAATAATAAGAGAAAAATTAATCGTTGTCTTTAAGTTTCTTTATTCGAAGGCAAAAGCGTTCGAAGACCGTTCTCACTGAGCACAGTCAGGAGAAGAGCCCTGAACAACACAGATCACATCGTTATATAGTCACAGCAAGGCAAAACCCACCCAAAGTCTGATCTTATCTCTACTACCAGATGGACCACAGAGACAATCCTGACCCCGACCTCATGAACTATCCCTCACCTCTTGGAGGGGACGATTTCATGGCAGGAAAGAGAACTGATAAGCATTTCAGGAGTAACTTCTAATTCTTCTTTGTCAGTCATGGGTTCAGGTCAAACAAGGGTACAGCCACATTTCACATGCCAGTCCTTTGAAATAATCACCAGATCAAGCATTTTACCCAAGATGTCTTCAGGTCTCTTCTGCTATCACAGCTGTGGAAACATCTAAACATTATCTGCAAACTTATTTAATGGACAAACACATCTTACAGAAATACAAAAACAAAGCAGATATAATCCGTAAATAAAAGAGAAAAAGTATCATTCCTTCAAAAATGAAACAAGACGGAAAAAGAAATTTTCTATTACAGTGAATAAAGTGGAGTAGACTTGCTACTTGTCAGATGATGGAAAACGTTGACCGTTGTATCGTTTCTGCCTCAGCACGAAGTAGCAGTTTAAGCAGAGAGGTAATGAAATACAACAGACACTGACAGGCCTCTGCGTCCGCCATTCTCTGAAGAACTACTGAGCGGGAGGAGACAGCCAGGTGAGGAAAAACTGTTCTTATCTATCGGTTCAGTATTTTTATCATACAGACATTAGGCTGTTGTTGTTGTTGTGCTATTAGCTAGCTGCTAGCTAACGACTTTGCTAGCAAAGCTAGATAACTAAAAAGCTTATTCCCTGTATCGTTAATGATATCAGTCATTCTTCAGTATTGCTTATGCAATAGAGGCACATCGCCCGTCCAAAACCTGTCATCTCCATAATGGACATATCTCTTCTAATCTGCTTTGCTGCGTTATGTACATTGCATTTATTCTGGCATTAGGCAAATGTATCTTGAAGGAGAATAACACTTAAATAAAAGACCAACAAGGATATTCATTTAGAATTAAAAATAACTCACTCTGAATTACCATGATAGATATAATGTATGTAATAAAAGTGTCATTACTGAAGGGGAAAAAACCTCAATCCAGACTTTAAATAAGTTCAGGGTCTGGTTTGCAGAGTATAAAGTTTAATTTTTTTCACAATTATTCAATGGAAAAAAACTAACCTCAGTTAAGTAAAATAAAATTGTAATCAAAACTTTTGGAATTGTAATTATTTCTTTTTTTAAAACAAGGTTTTGTTTAAAAAAATGTTTTAAATTAAATAACTCATTTTTGTCTCGTGAACTTAAAAAGTTATTTGCCAAACAAACTTTTATTTGCACACATCAGGAATCTTTTCATGTGAGAATCAC